TGTCCCCTGCACTGGCAGGCAGATTCTTAACCACTGCACCACCAGGGAAGTCCCAGGATGAGCTAATTTTAATAGATGAATTAAGTACAGAATAATAAGAAAATACAAGTTAAATCATAGAAAATTAGTATTTATATTACTAGAGTTTGAGTCTAGCTTTATATTCTCAGGACTTTATAGTTAATTAAGTAGAAATCAAGTATGTGTAGTTTCTTTCTGAATTAACAAATCAAACAATGGCTGCTTCTAATTATTCAAATTAAAAAAGAACTCATATGGCTACTTTAAAATACTGTTTTCATTTTTTAACTAATTGATTTTTTAAAGAGTTCTAGACCTGCTTCACTCTCTCAGTAAAAAGTACTATTTTTAAATTAAAATTTCCTAGTTGTTTTATATTTTTAGTATTACCTTATATTTCCTATATTTTCAATAATTTTTGTCCACTTATTCATCCCTCCATCTATCTATTCAACACATACATGGACCAGTGCTAAGCACCAGAATTATAACACATGCATATAAAAGTTTTCAGTAGACAGTGTTCTTCCATAAGTGCAATCTCACTTAATCTGCCTGCCAGTGCAGGGGACATGGGTTTGAGCCTCCTACAGGAGGATCCCACATGCCGCTGAGCAACTCAACCCGTGCACCACAACTACTGAGCCCGTACACCACAACTACTGAAGCCCTCATGCCTAGAGCCTGTGCTCCGCAACAAGAGAAGCCACTGCAGTGAGAAGCCTACGCACCGCAACAAAGAGTAGCTCCCACTTGCCACAACTAGAGAAAGCCTGCACACAGCAACGAAAACCAAAAAATAAATAAATAAATAATAAACTTTAAAAAAAAGAAAGTAATATGTAAACTAAACCTCAATAATTACTTAATCATGCATAGTTTTAAAAGATTGTCTGAAATTTTAAAACAAAAGCTAGAAAACAAGGGAAGTTATGTAAAAGAAAATGGTTTTTTGTTTGACTTCTGTCAAGTCAGCTAACTAAAAAGTAAGAAGTGGCAAATTAGGAGTTTGGGATTATTATATACACATTACTATATATAAAATAGATAAACAACAAGGACCTACTGTATAGCACAGGGAACTACACTCAGTATCTTGTAATAACCTATAATGGAAAAGAATCTGAAAAAGAATATATATATATGTATGTATGTATATACATGTATACATATATATGTATAACTAAGTCACTTTGCAGTACACTAGTAACTAACACAACATTGTAAATTAACTATATCAATTAAAAAAAAGTACATGAAAAGAAAAATTAGAAGATTAGGAACAATGGAAATGTAGACTATCTCCATTATCAGTGAAACATGTTATGGTAAAATAATGTTAAGTATTAAAATACTAAAATCCACTTTTAGATTGTTAATACAAAACACCAAAATGCACAATGACATATACATGTATATGCATAATGTATCTATTTATTTAATTCTTTGAGGTCAGAGGCATTATTTGGAGGCATTATCTATATGCACCATCAATAGATAAAGACTGTGCTTTATAATAGTTTAAAGAGAAAAGTAACAATATTCTTTATATTCACCCCCAACATGCTCACTGACAAGCACATATCTGTCCCATCTTGAGATATACATGTTTTGCATATCTTTATTTCAGATATTAATGAACCTTTATTTCACTAAATATATGTTTTCAAAAGCATACATATCTATGAAATTTTGAGAAGAAAATTTCAAACAACTTTCCATGATCATTTACCCTGAATTTTCTAGTGAACTTTGCTCTTCTAACTCATCATTCTCACTCCTCTATCTAAATTAACATTTTGGCCAAAATATTCATCCTAAACCACATTTTAAATCATGTCAATCACCTGCTTAAAAACATTTACAGGCTCCTTAATTTTTGAAAATTAACATCTGAAACCCCTGGCAAGGCAGAGAAGGGCCTAGGTGAACAGGGGTTTGTCCTACTTTGCCAGTTTCATCTTTTGAGTCTCTCTTTCACAATCTCCTATCCTGCAGATCTATCCATCAGTAATTTTGCCAATTTCCTCCCTAACCCAGAACATCCTCCTCTATCTATGCCAGTCACAATTCTATTCCCCACTATTCACCCACCCAATTTAGATATCATTTCTTAACTTCTTTCATTAGGCTTTCCATGTCAGAAGTAATCTCAATATATATCTCTCTCCCCCTCCCTCTTTCTGCCTCCTTCCCTCCCTTCTTCTTTCCCTCTCTTAGGCCATATCCCTTTCTTTTGTTCCTCTAAATGGGACTCACCTACTTTTGTTACAACTATTTGACATATCTCCTCTACTAGCTGTACCATCCTTAAAGCAAAACCATTTCTTATTTAGTTTCATAAGCTAACAACACTTAGTTTTGTGTAACTAGTAAGGTAATTAAGGAAGCTCATAAATATAATTCATTGTTTTTAAGCAACATGATTGAGTGATGGGTTTAATCTTATGCTCACATACTCTCTGTTCTTTCC